AAGGGGGATGAGGGGTGGCCGGAGCAGGAGCTGTTTGAGATTTATAAGTTGGTGAGGTATGGGTGGACGGAGGTGTTTGGGATGGGGGAGGATGAGGAGGCGAAGGAGGGGAGGGAGGCCGAGATGGTGATTGAACGGTGTGGGTTGAAGCAGGCGTACGGGAGTGGGATGTTGTTGAAGGGGAGTTCGCCGTTGCGACAGGCGTGGACGCCGGTAGTTGAGGAGATTTGAAGGTGAGCGCATTATTAATATTAAGGGATGGCTGACCAGTACAGTGCAGACTTGACCCAAATGAGGTTTGTTTACAGTGGAATGTTGAATAGGGGTTCAGGGGCTATACATAACCCCAACCCTGACAAAGATGTCATCATGTGACGCTGGACGTCGTTCATTCTAAGTACCTAGGTTAGGAGTGATACATACCTATAATAACAGATAAAATGTACGGCTAGCAAGTGCATTCCATACCCGAGGCACCTTTCTCGAAACGGCACGGTATGGGGGAAAAGGCTGAACTCCCAGAGTAGATGTCGACAAAACCTCGACTGAGACGAAACGAAAGCCACGCGAGAAGCTCAAAAAAATTACATTTACTCTTCAACTTATTCAATTTATTTTTCCTTTCTCTGTTTCCCATTCTTGCCCCTTTTTCTCTTGGTTTCATTCATCCCTTTCAACTTCGGCCTTTTCCGACCGACTGTGCCTTTGCCTCTCCCAAAACTCCACTTCCCCGATCGGTTCCTAAGCCAATTGCTGATTGGTAGAATTCCTCATGCCGCAGAAAGAGAACACCATCCTACCAGCTTCCAACAGCTTCCATCTTCCTCCTGCGCATGCCCCGCTCACTGATATCCTACACCGCCTTTCCCCTTCGTATATCCCCTAAAGATGTCGGAAGTGAGTTGAGAAACAAAACAAAAAGGATGCTTGCGTTGTCCCCAGTTCAATTTGCCCTGTGACGAAGCAAACCAATACGCGGCGCGCCTCTGATCAATCCGGACCTGCAGCCCGCCGCCACAGGCCCGGGAAGCAGCCGCTGAAAATATCACACCGCCTCGTTCTGAGCCTGATCTGCTCACCGCCGTCGAAAGAATCGCCCATGTCATGGTCAGATTCATCCAGGAAGTACAGTCGGCCCCATGTCCTTTTTGTGGGACAAGGCCTCCTTGCCAGCAGACAACAATCGGGTGTTTGCCTGATACCATGGTTCCTAAACTCACAACTCAATGGGAGGGACTGGCATCGATGTGTCAGAGGACACTGGGGGAGGCGGCCCCAAATACGTAAGTTGCCAACGGACTCAAGGCGGTTTGCTCAGGGCCCTAGTTTAGCGCGATCGTCAAACGATAGTCGGCTCCAGCAGGTGTTTCTGGGTTGGGCTGATATCATTGCCCCGGATGTAGGGGCGGGGGCCAAAAATCCGCTCACAAATCCCAGAGCGAACAGGGGAAATTGCCACAGCACACAAGCACAAAAAAACGAACGTGGCAGGAGGCAGGGTTTCACCAAAATATGTGCACGAGAAGGCTTGGAAGCATTTAGGAACTGTTTGTCAAGCTACCCATAAATATATATATGTATTTGTACATGTACACAAACCCGCCGTTTCACTCAAGTGCCTAGAACACCCGTAGCCTCACGGATGTCCGGTTCATCCATGACTTGAAAGCCCCTCACAGACACTGAGAGTACCAGTCATTCTGCTTCTGGCACGTCCACGGCGCCACACAGGCCGTAGGACCCTGCCACGAGTTCCCACCACACTGCTGCCACCTCTCAGCAAGGGCGGGCGCCGACGTCACCGGCGGCGAGCTGCTGCTAGTGGTGGTGGTTGGCACCGCCGAAGAAGACGCGGGGGGCTTGACGGTCGAGGTCGACAGGGTGGTCGGGCAGGCCGACTCGGTGGCCGAGGGCACGGCCGAGGTGGAGCTCGCGGAGGGGTTGGGACCGCCGCCGCCGCCGGGGACAGAGACCTGGGCGTAGAAGACGCCGCGGCCGTTGGTGCCGACGTAGACCTGGCCGGCGACGTTGCCGCTGCCGACGACGCGGTTGGCGCCCATGGAGCCGAAGCCCTGGTCGCCCTGGACGTCGACAAACGTGGCGCCGTTGTCCGAGGTGGCGTACAGCTTGGCGCCGTTGGCGCCCACGCCGAAGGCGTAGAGGTTCCAGGCGCTGCCCTCGCCCTTGCCAATGGAGATCTGCTCCGTCTTGCTGAGGCTGCTGGCGCCGGCCGCGGTTAAGGTCACGCCGAAGTCGGTGCTGCGGAACAGGCCCACATCGGTGCTGACCCAGACCTCGCCCGCCACGTCCGGGTGTGCCGCGATGTCCTTGACGGCGGTGGCCTTACCGAGGGCGGAGGCGACCTTCGTGAAGGTGACTCCAGTGTCGGTGCTGCGGTAGAAGGCGGCACCGGAGCCAGCGTAAAAGACAGTGTTGTTGCGCTTGTCAGCGGCGATGGCGGCACCAGAGGGGACGGATGCCACAGCGGCGAATGTGCCCTGATCCTGCGACCGGAGTACGCCAGAGGTTCCCGACGACCAGAGGATGGTGTCGGCATCGGCCGAGTAGGCGAGGGTTCCGCTGTTCTTGGTGTCATCGGTTCCGGGGTGAGCGTTCCAGGTGGCACCACCGTCGGTGGAGACGGCGACCTGTGGGGCGCCGTTGGAGTTGCCGACGCGGACAACGTTCTCGGGCTTGTTGCCGGCATAGTCTGGGTTCTGTTAGCGTGCGCATGGCTTTGACGGGCCATCGATACTTACCAACATCGGTGGCGCTAGTCCAGATGGGGTTCATCCACGGTGTCTGAGGCGAGGTGCCAAGGTCCTCGCTGGTCGCAAAGGTGAAACCGCAGTCATCGCCAACGGCAGCCAGGAGCTCGGATCCACCGACCGGGGAAGCAAGGCCCAGCACGGCCATCTCCTCGATGCCAACGGCCAGCGAGGAGATGGTGACATTGCGAGTGGCGGTGTCCCATTTGGTCAGGTCGTGGCCACCATACAGGGTCAGACCGGTTCCGTACAGCCAGTGGTCGCTGTCCAGGGGGTTAATCTCCAGGGCCTCAATCATCCAACCTAGGCGCTTAGTGTCCTGGGAGATGAAGCCAGCGTTGATCCACGGGGCGTTGTCGGTCTGCGCATGTCAGTTTCAAAATGCCTGAGCCCATCCGTATGTGACATGGACACCTACGTAGAGCCCGTAGTACCAGTTCTGGTCCGGGTAGCCAACCCACTCCCAAATAGTGGTCCAGGTCTCGCCCGAGTCGGTTGACCTGTAAATCTGGGCATCGGGCCACCACGAGTTCAGAGTAGCGACGATAAGAGTGCCGGGCTTCTGCATGTCGACACTGAGACCGCCGAAGCCGAAGGTCAGGTCAGCGCCCGAAACGGGGGTGATGTCCTTCCAAGTGCCGGTAGCGATATCGTAACGATGTACGCCTCCCTGGGTGCCATCGTACGGGCCAGCGCCGTCGCTGTAGCTGAGGTAGAGAGCCTTCTCCTCCGGCTGGAGCCTGCACTTGTGAGGGAAATATTTCTTGGGTTGGCCCTCCACGGCCTCCCAAGTCGCGCCAGCATCGTTGGACACATAGAATGAGGCGGTAATGTTGTCGGCGGTTCCGACGAAAATGCGAGAGGTGGCGCCATCGATAACGTCAGACGTCGAATCGAAGGTGACAAAAGCCAGGCCGATGATGTCTGAGTTGTATCCACTGGCGTCGCTGGGGTCGGCGATGTAAGTGCCGGGGTTCGTGAAGGACTCAACCTTGGCCCAGGTCGCACCACCGTCCGTGCTCTTCCACAGGCCGTTGCCGCTGCGAGCACCAAAGTAGAGGATATCAGAATTGGCGGGGTCCACGGCCAGCCTCTCGCCCATGCCACGGCCGGGCATATTTCCGCCAACCTTAAAGGGCAGCTCGGCGGAGGTCCACGTGGCGCCCCTGTCGGAACTGCGAATGATGGCGCCGGGGTTGGGGTCCCAGTCGTTGGTGTACATGCCGGTAGCAGCGTAGACCTTGTCGGGGTCCTGAGGGTCAAGTGCCATGGTATCGATGCCCCAGTTGCCCCTAGTAAGTGTGAGTGATGGAACCAAACTCTCGCTACGCCGGAGGAGTGCGTCTCACCATTTCTCGTTGGTGTTGATGCTATCAGTCAGGGGGGTCCACGAGTCGTCGTCGTTTAGCCTGTACAGACCACCGATATCCGTCCGGGCATACGCGACACCGTTGGTCGTCGGGTGGAACACAATACCCGGAACGAAGCCACCACCGCCGCCAATGTTGACGTTCTTCCAAGTGGCAGCCGTGGCCGGGGCCACCAAGGCCGCGACCAGGAGCTGTAGCGCAGACGGGCACTGCATGGCTGGAGTGAAGCCGATGTGAAGTCGACACGGTTGGCGTGCACAGCTACATCTCAGGACTGTCGAAGCAGGAGAGGCATCGCGGTTGATATAGAACAAGAGGGTTACTACTTAGGGAAGGACCTCCCGAAGACAGCCCACCAAGTCGACGTAGCCGTATGCATCTGCCCGGGTTCCCGAAAGCTCGCTACGTCTAGGGTGCATCCCGAGCGGACCGGGGGTGGCATCGAAAACGGTTCCTGGCCCGGGCCCATGGTTCGAACCGGGGAGCGGGTCGAGCGGCCAAGCGGATAGCGGGCGTGAGGACTTCAGAATGAGCAGGATATCGTAGAAATTCCGCGAATCGGTGATGGACGCAAAGGGGAACCGAACGCAGAATTGCGGAGCCAAGCGTCGACCACGCCTCGCATTGTCCACCCGCGTTCCCGTAAATGCAACGTCATTTGAGAAGGCATGGAGGATCGGCTTCCGCGTTTTTGAGGGGCCACGGCTGGAGCGTGGTTGGTGCGGGACGGGACTGCATCGGGGATCGCGATTGACCTGCAACTTTCTCACATTAAGGTACAGCAAAAATAGCCTATCATATATCTCACGCCAGTGGGAGATGCACAAGGCGAATCGTAGAGCAACAAACAGTTGCGGGAGCTTGTTCAAGATCGATCCGAAGACGAGCTGAAGTTGGTTGTGGGGTGCTGCGGGGCATAGCTTCTAGAAAATAAATTACAGGAGCCCCCGTTTCAGTTGTTTATAGCGGGTAGCTAGCCTAAATTAGGCCGATTAAACAAAATGCGGAGAATTAAGCCCAATGAACACCGATCATATCATGGAACACTCACCATCCCCTGCCTGAATTGAAGCTATCACCACCCTCGAACCCAACCCGAAGATTCCCCCACCTCCCACCTTCAAACCCAACACTCACTCACCCCCCCAAAACCCTCAAATGCGCCTGATCCAAATCCGTCAAGAAACTCGCGCCCAACACCCTGCTCGGCGTCGCGGGGTCAGTCGCATTGCACAGCTCCGCAAAGCTGCCCATCGCCGCCAGCTTTTCTGACACATACGCGGCATACTTGGCCACGCTGCACGACCGGCCCGGCCCGTCCTGGCACGATGGCACGGCGTAGACGGCCTCGTTGATGCGGATCCGGATGAAGGTCTCGTTCCGGCTCGGGCCTTGGTGGCGCCGCGTGGGTTTCGCGCCGGTGGTTGGCCGGGGCTTGCAGGCTCTTGATGTGGTGGTGGTGGGGTGTGTGGTGGTGTTGTTGCCGCCAGCACTGACCCTGCAGTTGAGGCGCTCAAAGGCGATGGTGCCGCGCATGGGCGAGATGCGCGAGCTGCGCCAGAGACGGTCCGTGGCGATGCGGTCGGTCGGGAGGGGGGTTTGCTCGTCAAAGACGCCGATGGCGGCGGCGAGTTGGTTGAGCTGGCCGTCGTTGAGGAAGTTCATCAGCAGCTTGGGTAGCTTGAACGAGCCCCCGCCGGCGGCGATGCCCTCCGCCTCGGGCCCGTGGACAAAGCGCTGGATTAGCGCGTTCAAGAATGGTACCATCATCTGCCGGGACACGTCCGCGCCGGGACCCACGCCGTAGTAATACCGGAGGTCTTGGTGGTACTCATACTGCTCGAGCTCTCCCTGTGTGAAGGTGTCGCAGAAGGGGGACAGGCGGCCCGTGATCTGGGATTCGAAACCGCAGATGTAGGGGAAGTCGTTCCACTTGGAGTCGTCGAGCTGCAGGTCGCCGTCGATGTATTGAGAGAGGCGCTCGATGAAGGGTGGCAGCCAGATGGAGCGCCAGGCTGCTGTCTGAACAGAGCTGTCGTCCTTGAAAGTGGGACACATGTCGGACGGCGCGAGGGTGTCGCCGAGGTGGGCGGGCATACCGCGGCCCGTGACGGAGACGACTTTGCCGAGCAGCGTCGAATTGGGTCCCAGGTACCCGCGGACAAATGTCTGGGCGGTCTGGAGGACCCGGGTGTAGTTGTTGGCCCAGACGTAGAAGTCATCGCCTTCCTGGTACAAGTCCGGATAGCTAACGCACGCAGAATAACCCCAATCAGCTCTCCTTTTTCGCAGGAAGGAGGAACGAAGGTCGACTCACCGAGTCCTCAGCGTGTATCCCAGATCGTGGAGCTCTTTGTACCCGGTCTGACTGAGCTGGGCAATCTGTATGTCAGGGTGTGTGAGGGGCGTGTTCCAGGTGTGGAAAAAGGACAACGGCCCCGACGCCGAGTAGTTGCTCTCCTTAAATTGCCGAGCCATCTCCACCCAGCCGTTGTGGGCGCCCGTGTCTGGGTAGCGGGACCCGTGCCGGAGGACGTAGGCAGCCTGGTCGACACGGCAGTTCTCAGGCACATCAGAGGAGATCCCGTTGAGATCATCGGCTGTTACATGGTTAGAAACCCCAGGCATGCGAGCTTGTGGGCACATCCCATTGACTCACCGGCAGTCCAAGGCCCGTTGCCTCCCAGGTGAGCAAGCGGATCTTTGGCTAGGGCGCCGTCGGGTCGGAGCACCGGCTGAACGGGGTCCAGCGATGTGCCGGCACCGGATCGGGCAGAGACCACGCCCGCGCCGACCAGGACCGCGGCAATCGTCTTGGAGAGAGTCATTTCTGGCGGCTGGCGGAGTACAATGGACTTGTTGGCACGATGCAATACGATCCAGATGACTCAATGCCTGGGGCGTCTGCCATCTTCAGTGTTTCACCGTCCTTTTGTATTTCTCGGTTCGAGTTATCCAGCCCTATATCGCGGCGCGTTACCACGATATCTCGGGGTCCTACGGTGTTCGCAGCCACGTGCAACGGAGATGCAGCCGGATCTGTAAGAAGAAGCGGGTCACCGTGAGGCCGGTGATGCGATGCTACAGGGGCAAAGCAGAACCGGGGTATCCACGTGGAAACGAACCAGAGCTTGATTTGGTGGCTGTTTAAGCGGGAAGAAGAGTCCCACACGCGACCGATCTCAAAGTGATAAGCGACAAGAATCATGGACCGGCAAACTTGGTTATCGTACAATGTGGGAGCAACACGAGCATGCCTGAGTGGCTGGAGTCGGCTGTTGTTTCTCTCTATCTTGGTTAAAATGATATCCGAACGATTCCGTATCCCTTTTATTTTCTGGCTTCTAGGCCGAACCCTGCAATTCCATACTCTTCTTGCCTTCCACACCCACATCCTGGCGAGAGTATTGCTTCTCAATTGAAGTTTTGTCCGCGATGAATAAGTCATCGACTCATCGTCGTCCCCCTACTTGACTACGAACAGGTCCGTCATACCAACAGCGGGCCGCGAGAAATAGTTATGGCCATAAACCCTTTCTTCCACCCACGGCGGTATTGACCACCGCAGCTACATGTATCGGTACACAACGTATCTCGACGGTGCCTCGGTGTCTCGGAGGGGGGAAAGTTGAGGGGCTCGAAAGAATGTTACCCTAACCCTAAAACACGAACAACCCAAATCACACTGCTGGATGGTGAGGTGCGGGGTGAACGATGAAACAGGCAATGACCTGGAACACATGATCCGTTGACTGCCAACTCTTGGGAAGGAAGTCTCCTCTCGTCCTTTCTTCAACTCCAGTCGCCATCAAATTATCCTCAACTTTCTTTTAGACCACTTATTGGGAGTCAATTGGCTCGTTGCACCCTCACCCTGCCCATGTGTCTGCCTCACTTCGCTGCCTATCACATACACCATAGAGCATGGCCTCTAAAATGTCTAAAATGTCGAGCTCTTCCACGGAAATAGCCCCAATGCGCCCAGGAGAGCTCGCCTCCGCTCTTCCGGGACAAGCTCCTACCGCCGATGCACCGGAACCCTCCCGTTCAGGCCCGCCCCGTGCTCCCCACGCTCCCCACGCTCCCCACATAATCCCGGTAACACCTCCGGACTGGAACAACCTCAGGGTCATCCACCGGAACACTTTGCCGCCGCGTGCCCACTTTTTCCTGTACGGAAACCGAGAAGATGCCTTATCACGCGATATCGCGCGCTCCAAGAGTCAGCTCATCTCGGGGCAATGGCGATTCCACCTCTCCAAGTCCCCTCTCGATGGTCCCGTCGACTTCCATCTACACACCCCGAGCGACCTGGAGTCCAAACATGGCTGGGGTGGGCAGACCATCCGTGTTCCAGGCATGTGGCAGCTCCAGGGTTACGGGAAAGGGCCGCATTACACGAACCTCAACTTCCCATTTCCGGTCGACCCTCCACACGTGCCGATTGATGACAATGAATGCGGCCGTTACGCCACATCTTTCCAACTCACATCGGAAGATAAGGGGCATCAGCTCAGGCTGCGATTTGAAGGCGTTGATTCTGCCTTTACCCTGTGGGTGAACCACCGTGAGGTCGGATACTCTCAGGGGTCCAGAAACCCGAGCGAGTTCGACATCACCCCCTTTGTCCGTTGCCCCGGTACCAACTCCCTCCACGTAGAAGTTTACCAACGGTGCGACGGCAGCTACATAGAGGATCAGGTACGCTTAAACCAGTCCCATCATATCTCCCTGTGGCAATGAGGCTCATCTTTGCAGGATCAATGGTGGCTCAGTGGCATTTTCCGTGATGTTTGGCTCCACAAGTTTCCACCCACTCACTTCGAGGACCTTCGGATCAAGGCCCAGCTGTCTGACAATTACCAAGACGGGACTTTGTATGTCGAGTTCAAGCTTAACCACGAAGCAAAAGTCAACTTGGCTCTCCTGGATGCCGATGGGGCAGAAATTGCCAGCCAGATTCAGGAAAGGGAGGGTGGGGCCTCGGACAAAGGAACCTGGACCAAGGCCAAGATCGGACCCCTCAAGGATGTGCACAGGTGGACGGCCGAGACCCCCTACCTTTATCAGTTGGTTCTCTCTATGCCAGGCTGTATCTTGGCCGAAAGGGTAGGCTTCCGCCGGACCGAGCTTCGAGACGGCGTATTCTGTGTGAACGGCGCACCCATCAAGTTGAGGGGCGTCAACCGACATGAACACCATCCCGATCACGGGCGGGCGGTGCCGTACGAGTTCCTCAAGGCCGATCTACACTTAATGAAGCGGTTCAACATCAACGCTATCAGGACCTCACATTACATCAATGACTACAGGTTCTACGAGCTGGCCGACGAGTTGGGCTTTTGGATCCTGGATGAGTGGTATGTTTCTGGGAGGCAAGCCTGTCCAACAACAGCGTTTCTAACTGTGATTTAGTGACCTCGAATGCCACGGGCTGTTCGTAGTAGGGGGCAACGGCACGGCATTGACGTCCGACAACCCTGATTGGGAAGAAGCATACATTGACCGCGCCCGGCAGATGGTCGCCCGCGACTTCAACCGCCCGAGTATCGTTCTCTGGTCTCTGGGCAATGAGTCTAGCTACGGACGAAACCATGCCGCCATGTACAAGTTCATCAAGAGCATCGACGACTCTCGTCTGATACACTACGAGGGCGACTGGAACGCTCAGTCTGCCGACATCCTGAGTCGGATGTATTTCTCCATCGGTGACGTCGAATCAATGGCGAAGGCCCGTGAATGGGATAAGCCACTGGTTTTGTGTGAGTATGTGCACGCCATGGGTAACGGCCCTGGTGCCATCAAGGAATACATCGACCTCTTCTATAAATACCCTCGCCTAATGGGTGGTTTTGTATGGGAGTGGGCAAATCATGTGAGTTGACATGAAGATCTCGCTTGACCACAACTGATGTATGACCCTCACAGGGCCTAAGGACGAAGACGAAAGACGGGCAAGAGTACATGGGATATGGGGGCGATTTCGGTGACGAACCCAATGACTACAACTTCGTCATGGACGGGCTATGCTTCTCAAATCACACTCCCGGGCCCGGCCTTGTTGAATACAAGAAGGCGATTGAGCCTGTCCAGATCCTTAGTATCGAAGACGGAAACAAGATACGGATCGTAAACCGGTACGACTTCATCGACCTTTCCCACTTGGAGTGTCGGTGGTGGATAACTTCGGATGGTTCAACAGACTCTGTCTGCCCGAATACGTTAAAAAGCCCTAGGTGTAAGCGTGTAATTCCTTTCGCTCGTTACTACTTGTGCTCACCCAGATTTAGGCCTTCCCGGTCACCAGGCGCTCTTGGAAATCCCGGGGCTTGAGCAGAAACAACCGGCAGATTCAAACTTACGCCTGATGTTCGTGAACTTGGCCGCTACCCCCTGGTCCCCTGCTGGGCACATGGTCGCGGACGGGGAAGTGCAGTTGACGAAACCCGCGAGCCTACGGCTTCTACGCAACATCACCAATCTTCCAACGCAACCGTTAGAAGCGAGATCAACCAGCACGGTCCTGTCAATTATTAGCAGCCACGGGCTATCTTGGAAATTCGACCTTGTTCGTGGCACTCTCGTCAGCTGGCAGCGCTTGAAGACAGGCTCAGAAAGTCTCTCCCCGAATATCCTCACCGAGCCTCTTCGCTTCGACCTCTACCGCGCCCAAACAGACAATGACCGGGGCTGCGATTTTGGCCGAAACTGGCGCGACCGCCGTCTGCACCAGGCAAAACACCATCTCATCCAGTCGTCTTGGCACCAACGGGAAGATGGTGCCGTCGAAGTCATTACCGAGAGCCGAATCGCCCCGCCGGTCCTGAACTGGGCTCTCAAGGTTACCACCACCTACCACTTTGCAGCGGACCACATCTACATACGGGCACACGCGAAGCCTACGGGTAACCTGCTTCCGCGTGCATGGGGCCGCCTGGGCCTGGTCACAGCCCTGGCGGGGTGTACCAAGGTCCACTGGTACGGCCGGGGTCCGGGCGAGAGCTATCGCGACAAGAAGTTCAGCCAGCAGGTAGACAACTGGGAGATGTCCGCTGACCGTCTGATGACCGACTACGAGTTTCCGCAGGAGAATGGAAACCGGACGGACGTGCGGTGGGTCGAGTTTGTTACGGCTGCGCCGGCCCGCCTGCTGAGAGCGCGGTACGGGGATTTCGAGGGCGCGAGTTTCTCGGCGCTGCCGTACACGGCCGAGGACCTTGACGCGGCGCAGCATCCGTATGAGCTGAGGGAGAGGAAAAGGGAGGATTTGGTTGTGCATCTGGACTGGATGCATCACGGCTTGGGGACGGGGTCGTGCGGGCCGGAGACGCTGCCTGAGTATACGCTGCACGCGAGCAAGGAGTATGAGTTTGAGGTTGTTTTGGATTAGCCTGTGGCTGTTTGGTGTTTCTTGGGAGGTGAAGGTAGAGAACGGGAGAGTACCGGGCGGTCGGAGCAGGGTTCGGCAAAAAATAAAGGATAAAAACATACAACACCGAGGATTCCCCAGTCGTCACCGACCTGAGTACTAGTTCGGCTCTTAAAAGACTTATCTTGTGGGGTAGGCGGGGTAAAAAAAACAGGGGATCTCGGGGTCCAGAAAGGGCCGCCTCTTCTCCTCTATTAGTGCCGTCCGTTTTGAGAGAACGGTGAAACCGGCTGCGCCGCAGAACCGTTCAGTCTTATGCAGCAATTGCGGTCGAGCCCTGCTGTCGGGCATAACAGCAGGGAAATGACAAGCTGAGAACGCCCGCGCAATCCGTTCATTGCCGCTGGGAATACGGCTGTCGGGCGCCTTCGACACATCGGCGTCGGGCAAGGCCACACGGGCCGCCGCCGTCGTGATCCCGGGGACGGCCAGTGTTGCAGCCGGTCGGAGAAAGCACGGGATGAAGTGCCTCATCATGCGGGAGCGGTCTTCGGGATTGGTGACGACCACTGGGTCACTTTCTGCACTCTCAGCTCACTCCTTCCCCTCTCCCGGAAGCGACAGCAAGTCCTTTGTCGCCCTGAGAGCTTGATGCCACACGTGGCACACTACCTGCTTGGCTGCCTCCCTCGAGATGGTCAGCCGCATACCTGCGCCACCATGAACCACTTCCGATTTTCGCTCCAAGCTGTCAGGTTTGACGTTCATCTGCTCCAGCCTCTGCCACCCCCGATTACTTCCGACCAACTTCCCCGATTGTCGTCGATGCAAACGCCCTGCCATGAATCCGAAACGAACGTACGAAGATGAAGAACCGTCTGCGAGCCTTCCGAAGCGGCTAAGAACCTTCGACCCCGCCTCCAATGGCGTTATTTACCCAAGCTGCGACGCGTACTCTCCACTTGTGCATGAGGCTTACACAATAGCCTGGATCTGTGCACTTCCCTTAGAACTGGCGGCATCGCGTGCCATGCTAGACGAGGAACACCCACTGCCCCCCAACCAAGCCGGCGACGACAACACCTACGTGCTCGGACGCATCGATCAGCACAACGTCGTCATGACATGCTTGCCGGGACAGTACGGAACGAACAACGCTGCAATCGTCGCGACAAACTTGAAGCGAAGTTATCCGAGCATCCGCGCTACCTTGATGGTCGGCATCGGCGGCGGATCCCCAAACCAGGCCGACTTGTACCTAGGCGATGTCGTCGTTGGCACGAGGGTCATGCAGTATGACATGGGCAAGATGGTTGCGGGCGGCGTGTTCGAAGAAACGGCCGATGCGAAGACTCCTGCGCGGCTGCTGAACTCGGCTGTGTCCGCTCTACGGTCGAAGCATGGGCCGCACCATTCTAGCAGTCGAATGACTAGCCTCCTGCGAAGCCGACTCCCAAACATCTTGCGCCCGAACCACCCCGATCGCCTTTTCCAAGCGTCCTATGAACACCCTCTCGGGGCGCCAACATGTATTGACTGCGACCTAGAAAAGCTGCAACCACGAGGCGCACGCCTCTCTGACGAACCCAGGATTCACTACGGAGTCATCGCTTCGGGAAACAGGGTTATGAAGGACGGGAAAGCACGGGATGAGATTGCGCGGCGACTTTTAGCGCTATGCTTTGAGATGGAGGCAGCCGGCATGATGGATAATCTCCAGTGCTTGCCGATTCGCGGCATTTGCGACTATTCGGATTCCCATAAGAACAAGCAGTGGCAGGACTATTCTGCTGCAACCGCAGCCGCATACGCGAGGGAACTGCTGGAAGGGCTTCGGCCTTCGTCCAGGTCGCTTGACCGGACTCCAACATACATCACCGAAGTGAGCCAGCCTGATACCGCCGGTATTACCAACCATTGCCCTGATCCCTTCCTCTCTAGTATCATGCTGACTAGGGATGCGAGCAGTCGACCAGGCCTTGGAACGGCGGCAACGCTTGCTAAAATGCCTTGAATTCCCGCAAATCGATGCCCGCAGAACCACTATTCGGGCTGCGCATATCAAAACCTGCCGTTGGGTTCTGCAGCACTCAAAATACCGGGATTGGCTTGACCCCGGGAAGCAGTCGCAGAATCATGGCTTCTTGTGGATGCGAGGCAAGGCAGGTGCCGGAAAGTCAACCATGATGAAGTTCATGTACCTGGAAATGAAAAAAGCCCCCAAGAAGCCCAGCATGGCCGTGGCGTCCTTCTTCTTCAATGCACGAGGCGACTATTTGGAAAGGTCTATCTCCGGGATGTACCGGTCTCTGTTACTGCAGCTCCTGCAGGAATTTTCGGATCTTCAACCCGTACTGGACAATACGGACATCGTTCCGCGGAACCAACAAGACTGCCCTGACCTGAACGCTCTAAAAGAGCTTCTCAGCAACGCTGTCATGGCCCTTGGCCAGCGCTGCTTTACCTGCTTCGTCGACGCCCTCGACGAGTGTGACGAGCTGGAGATCCGGGACATGGTCCAGTTCTTCGAGCAATTGGCAGAGACTGCTACTGATAAAGGCATTCAGTTTCGAATCTGTTTCTCGAGTCGGCCATACCCCTACATTGATATTCACCGGGGAATCTTGCTTACCCTCGAGAAGGAATCGGGACACGGAGAGGACCTGGCACAGTACGTCAAGAGTCGTCTCAGGATCACGCACCGCCCGCTTCTTGAAGAATTACAATCCCAAATCCTGGACAAAGCTGCTGGGATTTTCATGTGGGTCGTGTTAGTAGTGGAAATCCTGAACAATGAGAGTAGCCACGGCGCTCTTGCTCTGAGGAAAAAAATTTCGGAAATCCCGGCTGAACTGAGTGAACTCTTCAGGAGCATGCTGGCACGCGATCAACATAGAACTGAATCGCTACAGCTCTGCATTCTCTGGATCCTCTTCGCAAAGCGGCCTTTGAGCCCAGCAGAGTTCCGCCATGCGCTGTGGGCGGGCTTGTTGGAGCAGCGTCTGGTCGATCCCGAGCTGCCAGATGACACACACATGGATGCCGTCAAACTGGTCACGAGTTCCTCGAAGGGGCTTGCTGAGATCACCAAATCTCAGCAGCCGACCGTGCAGTTCATTCATGAATCAGTGCGGGACTTTTTGGTGAAAGAAAGGGGCGTCCAGGACTTGTGGCCTGAACTTGGATTCGACTGGGAGGATACTAGCCACGAAATCCTCAAGCGTTGTTGCACTACGTACTTGCATCATCCAAGAGTACAGGCGATCATGTCGCGCCAGAGAGCAGAGACGATGAACGGAGCGCCATGGCTGAAAAATGCTAGGTACAAGAAGTATGCCGGTCAGCAGGTCCTCAACCACGCCCAATGCTGAGGCGCCTGTGGTATCCCAAGACGATTTTTTGACCTCGATTCTTTGCTTCGGCTGGAATCAGGGTGATCAACCACCACGAGAAGTACAAAGCTAGGCGGTATGGCTCCCATGCAACGCCGCTATATGTTTTAGCAGACAAAGGGCTGGGGAACCTCATTCGCACACAGATGAAAAGAGACCTGGCTACCGACGTTTCTGGAGAAAGGTACCAGTATCCGCTTTTCGCTGCATTAGCAAACGGTCATAAAACTGCCATAGCCGCACTTTTGGGAGTGTCGTCAACTGTCTGCGATGGCGTCGATATCACAGAAGGTTTAAACTACAAGAAGGACTTGAAGAATCACCAAGGTCGGACGCCATTATCATGGGCTGCCCAGGAGGGTAGACTAAGCATTGTGGGATTGTTGATTCAAGGAAGGGCAGACCTTGACGAAATTGATAGGAGAGGATTGACGGCACTGCTTCGGGCCTCAGAGAATGGCCACGAGGCGGTCGCGCGGCTTCTCATCGACAAAGGGGCGGATGTCAACGCTCAGGACAGTTCTGGATCGAGGGCGCTGCTTCGGGCCTTGGAGTTCCGCCACGAGGCGGTCGCGCGGCTTCTCATCGACAAAGGGGCGGACGTCAACGCTCAGGACAGTTCTGGATCGACGGCGCTGCTTCGGGCCTTGGAGTTCCGCCACGAGGCGGTCGCGCGGCTTCTCATCGACAAAGGGGCGGACGTCAACGCTCAGGACAGTTCTGGATCGACGGCGCTGCTTCGGGCCTTGGAGTTCCGCCACGAGGCGGTCGCGCGGCTTCTCATCGACAAAGGGGCGGACGTCAATGCTCAGGACAGTTTTGGATCGAGGGCACTGCTTTTGGCCTCAGAGAATGGCCACGAGGCGGTCGCGCGGCTTCTCATCGACAAAGGGGCGGACGTCAACGCGCAGAACAGTGCTGGGTCGACGGCACTGTTTCGGGCCTCACAGAATGGCCACGAGGCGGTCGCGCGGTTTCTCATCGACAAAGGGGCGGACGTCAACGCTCAGGACAGTGCTGGATCGACGGCACTGTTTCGGGCCTCACAGAATGGCCACGAGGCGGTCGCGCGGCTTCTCATCGACAAAGGGGCGGACGTCAATGCTCAGGACAGTTTTGGATCGAGGGCGCTGCTTCGGGCCTTGGAGTTCCGCCACGAGGCGGTCGCGCGGCTTCTCATCGACAAAGGGGCGGACGTCAACGCTCAGAACAGTGCTGGATCGACGGCACTGCTTCGGGCCTCAGAGAATGGCCACGAGGCGGTCGCGCGGCTTCTCATCGACAAAGGGGCGGACGTCAATGCTCAGGACAGTTTTGGATCGAGGGCGCTGCTTCGGGCCTTGGAGTTCCGCCACGAGGCGGTCGCGCGGCTTCTCATCGACAAAGGGGCGGACGTCAACGCGCAGAACAGTGCTGGATCGACGGCACTGCTTCGGGCCTCAGAGAATGGCCACGAGGCGGTCGCGCGGCTTCTCATCGACAAAGGGGCGGACGTCAACGCTCAGGACAGTGCTGGATCGACGGCACTGTTTCGGGCCTCACAGAATGGGCCACGAGGCGGTCGCGCGGCTTCTCATCGACAAAGGGGCGGATGTCAACGCTCAGGACAGTTCTGGATCGACGGCGCTGCTTCGGGCCTTGGAGTTCCGCCACGAGGGCGGTCGCGCGGCTTCTCATCGACAAAGGGGCGGACGTTCAACGCTCAGAACAGTGCTGGATCGACGGCAATAGTCAAGTAGTGTTCTTTCCGTTTATTTTCAGCGATTTTTGAAGAGTCTAATTTTTTTACTATCTCTATTTAAATGAAGGGCCTGGGAGACATGATTATTTTATACTAATTACTTCGTTTTCGCCATTGACGTACTGTCACCAATACCACTGCCACTTTTCCAAACCCACAGCCGGTTGAAGGGGCGGCAGCTGGAGAGCATCGACTCTGTGGATGTTGTGAGAGCTTTGTTCGGTCAGTAACGCAGGGTCGTTCCCAAAAAAGACCAGATCCGCTAGTTCTCGATCATGTCAGCAAGGTGGTTGTAACGTGCTGCAACAGCAATTCGGTACCCTGCTGTGTTATCTGTGGTTGCACGAGGAACCAGAAGTGGGAGGCCCCGCGATGCGGAAAAAACACCTGCGTGTGGGCTGTGGCGCACAGGCCACTCCCGCAGGACCCACTCTGGGCTCCATCCCTGCAACCATAACTTTGACGGCTATCTAATCTCCTTGACACGGCTGTGCCCGTGACAGTCGTTCTGGGCCGCTGCAAGCGGCCGGAAAGACCCGCTTAGCACGCGGAACGCTGAGCAGTCAGAATATGTTATGTATGGTTGCTATCAACAAGGTTGCACAAAGAGTGCAAGTGTGAGGGACGAGTAGCTTCTAGGCGAGGCACAAGGGCACTGCGTATGCTGACTCAATTCTGCTAATCGAAAGCTGAAGAAAAGAGAGGAAAGATACAAGATAGCGCGCTGGCAACGCGAGAAGGCATGGCCAGAACGGAGCTAGTCCGGATGCGGAAGTGCACCTCCAACCCTAACCCTGGGTGCGCTTTCCGTCACAGCAAGAATGGGTGGCGAACCTCACATATCCCATCCATCGGGGCAACCCTAACCCTAAAACTACATGGCACAGCTCTACCTATGACAGAATGAGAGACTCGATCTTCAAAAAGAAACATACAACACCGGGGATTCGCTGGTCGTCACCGACCCAACTACTGATCCGGCTCTCAAAAGCTTATCTTTTGGGGTAGGGGGGGCAAAAAACAGGGGGTATCGGGGTCCAATAACGGGTGCCTCTTTTCTCCTGTTAGTGCTGTCCGTTTCAATAAAACGGTGAAACTGGCTGTGCCGTGCAAACCCAACGCCTTGCCTTGCGCCTTGGAGCCTTGGCACCATTCCGCCACCTCTCGAGACAGTATCTTTTCCTGCATGTGCCTGGCGACGGTCACTTCAACCAGACGGCAGTTGTCGAACAGGTCGATCTGGCCAGCACTCACATCGATATGGATACGGAGGAGGATGGTGACCGTGTTGAGGTTGATGTATGTCAGAGGGCGGCGAGCGGGGGAAGGCAGTGGTTAGGAAGTGGGGGCTGATGATCGGCGGCGTGGTCGAGTGCTGGTGCTGCTGCGCGATGCGTATCGGGAGACCGCGCCCGAGCTGGTGGCTCAAGAATATGCGCCCACGGCGGATCGGATCTTGATTGGCGAGTACGAGACGTTTGGGCAGCTTGGGGGGGGGGGTGGAGCGTGAAGGAAACGTTCCTCTACGGCGCCCACCGCGTCCCGCGAAGCCGTCGCGCCCTCCACCGCCAGCCGTACCCCCTCCATCAACGCCCTCCTCGCGCAGTCGCATTCAAACCTCCGCTACTGAAGCATCGTCTTCCTGTCGTCGCATTTCGTCCCGCTGCTTTCCGTGCTGGGGGGAGGTCCTGCGCTGCGCGCGCGATGAGAAGGTCGCCGATGAAGGAGCGAGATGCGGTGCCGAGGCAGGCACAGCTCAGCAGCTGCCTTCTGACATCAAGCAATTGTCTCATAACACGATGTCTAAGTGCATAGATAGACTGACAATATTCCACAAAACGTACCTGCAATGATACCCAGGAACCACTCAGCCCCAAGCATGAATCACTATCCCGATGCCAATGACACAAACTAGTGGAAAACAAAACAAACTTCTCAACCCAACCAGCAACCCATCTCCCGCTGCCGACACCCGGCCCACCGGAACAACTCGCATCCGCCTTGAGCGCGAGCAGGGCCGAGATGTGCCCTAGGGTACTCCATCTCCAGAGATTGTAGACAGCGCGTGGAGGGCCAGCAGATGCAAACTAGCATCTAAGCCCGACGCTTCGTGATGCGGCCTGACACCACCTTCGACCCTTTAGGACCGTTGCGTTTTCTGTTTTTTCCACGTAATCGGGGCGCTGACAGATTCTGCAACAACGAAGCAAGATACCCTGGGGGCTTCTTCGCCTCCCGAGATTAATCCTCTTTTTGTCTTGGAGGGTGTAGGCACGGAACTCTTCAAAACTATTCCACACTTCGACTCGTTTGCCCGTCCGCCGCGCATCGATGAGATCGACAATGTTGACTAGCGTATTCTTCAGGTCCCTCTTGCACTCTGCGGCCGAATATCTCGGATCAATGCCGACCTCGTGGCATAAGGCTTGGTAGCCCTGGAGCGCTCTCTCTTCGTCGCTGAGCTCTTCTTCGTCGACGTTGTCGAGCCGTTGCGGCTGCGAGAAGTAGTGGAGCTGGAGTTCCTCCCTCATCGCGATGGTGCGTTGTCGGGTGTAATCCTGAGAACCAGGAACCCACTGTTGGGACGAGGCGAGGCGGGCGAACTCGTCGTCAAACGATGCTGCATCGTTGGGTGTGAAGTGCTCGAACTTGGCGAAGTGGGACTGCGAGGGCGGTGGGGGCCCTTCATCTTCCTCATCCGCCGACGGGCAAGGCATTTGGGAACGATAAAAGTTGGGGATTGTCAGACCGAAAGGCATTGCCGCGATTTCTTAGTACACGTCGCCCCCGTAATCGACTCAAGACTCTGCTGCTGGTGATTGTCGCTCTGGAGAGTACGGGCGTGGGAAAACATGCTGTGATTCCGCAGCGGAATGCGGGGTCGACGCTGTTGGTCGCCAAGAGCATGGGGGTGATTGGGCCACTCCCCCAAACTTCGCCAACTGTTGATGCTCGACACAAACTCGGGGGTTCAGAAATATTCGGAATCTAGCATCTAGAAGAACCTTGGCTCGTGATCGCAATCCCCCCTCCGCTACTCGACCAGCCCCCGGTCGAACTCGTCGATGACATTGTCGAATACTTCTGCCAGTACTGCAGTCTTGGACAACAACATTATGAACAACGTGCAGCTCTCCACGTTGTCGGCCAGGACGACAATGATGACGACGACCCAGACCGGAGCCCAGCTGCTGCGTTGCATCGACTGGCACTGACATCCAAGCGGCTCAACAACATCGCGACGCCGCACCCCTTTCACCACCCGCTCCCCGTCAGGTGGTGGCTGTTGACCAGAACGCTCATCGCCCGACCCGACCTCGACCTCCTTGTTCGGCATCTGTTCGACTCTCAGCACGGCAAGCGACCCCTTCAAAACGTCGTGGAGGGCCTGCGAAGCATTCATCCCTGGAACAAGACCGAGGCCATGTGACCTCTACCTCTGTCTCCATCCTCCCCGCAGGAGGTGCTGAGCCACTTCCAAATTCGGAGCTGGCCCTCGGCTCCGAACTAGATAGGATCGCCTTCGTCGACGATGGGCGCCGCCGACTGGTGGTTCCGGTCTCAGACCCTCGACATGCTGTCCTCGCTCTGCGCCAACGTCCAAGAACTCGCTGCCCGTGGCGACGTGGTCTACAAGATCCTCATCTGGGATGCCCCTGGATCACTGATGGGCCTAAAACACGTCACGCTCGTCCAGGCGCGTTCCCGCAGGGCGCTGGACCTCACCGTGCTCTCCCAGGTTGCCACTACGGCTCCCAACCTGCCCACTGTCAAATTCCACCCCGTCAGGCACACAAGTGTGTTCGATCCTCCAGTGTCACTGCCGAGCATGGCCAAGCTCGTCAAGCTGAACCTCCCCGATGCTTACGTCTGCCACGAAGCGTTTTGCAGCATCCTCGCCGCGTGTCCAAATCTGCAATTCTTCTTGTTGGAAACCAACAGCCACGATTTCACGGTTATCTCACAGATGATGGAGCTTACAGCAGTCGGGTTGGGATGCTCGGAGCAGCCCAGAAGTCCTCAATTGAAGGTTGTTCCTCTCTCTGTCCTCAGTAGCGGGCACTGCCCTGACCTCCTTTTCATAGCTTATTGTTCAGGCCCTGGAACCCCTCTAACACTAATGCACCGGCAACCAAGCTTCCGTGTTTCAAGTGCCACAACTTCCAACACTTCTCCTACGCGCAGGCCGCCGAGTATGGACCCGACCTCGAGTTCACCCCGAGCAAGGCTGAGCGGGCTCTAGTCCGCAGCACCCCGAATCTAACATCCCTTACCTTGTATATGGGCCAGTCTAAGCACTGTCTCCGCCGGGCAGACGTCCTGCAGTCCTTGGCCGGCCTCTCCAAGCTTGAGGACCTGAGTCTGACCCTACTATGCCTATGATCCGACTCCCTGGCCTACGCTACTATGAGCGACCCATATCACATGATGCTCGTTCGCCTGCTTCCAGCCTCGATACGCTCGCTCTCACTGGCCGAGTGCTATATCGTGTTCCGGGCGCTGGTTCCCGCACTGATGCAGCTGGCGTCGGCAGCCAGCGATATGTTCCCCAGTCTCGAGAGGGTGGACGTTTCGAGCTTGGATGACGGGGAGCTCAAACCTGGTGAAGTTGAGGAAGTGCGGGCGGCTTTGGGAAATGCGGCATCCGGATCCGGTTCAGGGCGCTATCTGTTGGAATCGACACTCAGACAGACAGAAAGATGGGAGAAAAGATTTTATTGATTTGTGCAACTCCTTTCAGAGTCCACCAGAGCGAGTGGTTTTATGGTCATTCTCCGCTACCGGTTCGTCTCTGCTTCCTTTGTCTACCTAGCTTAACCCGCGGTAAACCGATGCTTTGTGATGTCAAGGTCCCATGACTCTGCCATCCACAGTTTCCGGGTGCCGCTCTTTGTGCTACCAAAGTTCTACCAAGTTTCTGACACTGGTATTTGCCAGAAAGTTCTATATGGTGAATCTAACACTATCCAACATGGACTGGAAGTGACTGGACCTTGTGAAGAAACTGCATGTCGAGTGATAGGGACATGTACCTGTGAGTTAGTGATTATACCGTACAGAATGCAATCCCACACCCTAGCCAGCCATCAACTTTGCCCAATCACTCGGCAGCTCCCTCACAAGCCTTTTTAAATTCCCGTATCAGAGTCTACAGTCGAAGCAACGATTAGCGCAACTCTCCAAACCCCGAGCACGATACAAAGCAGCACAAACTCACCTCAAAATCATGATCCGCCAGCGTCATAAACACCGGATGCTTATCCATCTTCAACTGCGTCACCCGCGGGCTCTTGATGTCAAACGCAATCCTCGCCAAGAACCTCGGGTCATCCCTGACGTCGCACGCGGCCAATATCCTCTTAATCTTTGCAAGATCCGGCTTTCTCGGCTGTCTGGGCGGCATCACGACGCGCCTCCCCGTCAGGCAGTGCGTGCAGTGACCGCACTTGATCTTCCCGTCGGGTAGACCCATGCCAAAGTGCTGGGCCAGCGCGAGCGCAAGGCACTGGTCGCCCGTGACCAGGTCCTCTACCTGCTGGGTGCGGCGCAGGGCGTCAGCCTCGCGGCGCGAGAGGTCGGCGTGCAGGTCGTCGACGAGGGCGTTGAGGGCTAGGTTGGTTTGCGGAAGGGGTTGGAGGATGCGGTATTTCTGCTCCATGCCGCCGGCCTTGAGCTCAATGAGGCCCGTGTCGTGCATTTCGTTGAGCTTACGGACAAGGTCGACGCGGGGGAGGCCTGTGCGGGACACGATGCCGTTGATGTCGACATGGTGGAATTTGCTCTTCTTGACCGCGTTGGTGTAGATGGCGTTGCCTGTTGGGGAGCGTTCCGTTTTTATCCGGGCAAAGTACATCGGAGTTGCGGCGAACTTGTACTCGCTGTATTCGGGGGTGATGGCGCGGATTAGCCCGAAGCGTAGCTCCAGCGCCGCGTAGATGGTGGCCAGAGGACTCTGGCGAATATCATAAACTCGCGATTGCACGTAGTGGCTCGTCTTGAAGGTGTCGCCCACAGATTTAGCCGTGTTTTCGCCGAAGATGTCAATCAGCAGCCCCTTGAGGGATTTGCGCGAGGGGAGGTCGCCCCGCGCAAAGTTCTCGCGGATGTACCGGTCGTCTGGGCAGATGTAGAACATGCAGTTGCCGGTCTTCCCGTCCCGCCCGGCGCGGCCGACCTGCTGGCAGTACTCTTCAATGGTGCTCGAGACGTCGAAGTGGACGATGTTGCGGATGTCGGGCTTGTCGATGCCCATGCCAAAGGCAATCGTCGCCACGACGATACGGATGTGGTTGGCCAAGAACTTGTCCTGGACTTCTGCCTTTGCATCCACCTTCATGCCGGCATGGAATGCCTCGGCATCAAACCCCTGCTCTCGCAGATCAGCCGCTAACTGGACTGACTGCTGCTGGAGAGTGACGTAGACCAGTGTTGGTCCCGGGTTCTCGTTCAAGAATTGGAAAATGAGAGGATACTTGTCCTGCTTGGTCTTCACGGCCCGGGCGTGGAGGTTCAAGTTCGGTCGATAGGCAGTTGTGCGGAACACGCCTTCTGCCGGGATTTTGAAGGCGCTGCAAATATCGTCGACGACCTTGGGAGTCGCCGTTGCCGTAAGACAAATGACCTTTTCGGCCGCGATCTCGTCGGCGAAGCGGGCGACCTTGAGATACTCGGGCCTGAACGAGTGTCCCCATTCGGAGATGCAGTGGGCCTCGTCGACGGCCAAGAGGCGCACACCACCCTTGACGTGGCGCATCGTCGCAACAAAGCCTTCGTTGTTCAGTCTCTCTGGGGCACAATACAGAATACGCAGTTTCCCTTCTCGCAGGGCGGCGTAGGTCTGCTGTTGCTGTTCCCACGTTTTTGTCGAGTCGATGCACTCGGCAGGCACCTTCCTTCTCTTGAGAGCATCAACTTGATCCTTCATCAGGGCGATGAGCGGCGAGACAACAATGGTAATGCCATGCTCGCCGGGTGTCCTCGAGGTATTCTGCAAATCCAGTTGCGGGAAGGCAATGGCCGGGATCTGATTACGACGTGTCAGGAGACGAATCAATAAATTTGGGAGATGGATTGCGACGCGGGCGAACCTGATAACAGAGGGACTTTCCTGCGCCGGTTGGAAAGACGGCCAGGACGTTCGCGCCAGCGAGGATCCGTCCGATGGCGCCCGCTTGCTCGTGACGAAATGCTGTATACCCGAATGTCTCGGTCAGCAACTTCTGAGCGACCTCCATCTGAGCCGAGACACATAAACTCTCAGGTTGCAGTTCTTCAAAGACGCCATCATCGGGAAAGGGATCATCATCGATGATACCGCCGCCATTGTTCCGTTTTTTTTTTGAACTGGTTGCCGCGGTCGTTGACCTCGTTATCGTGGTCGCACGTCCGCTTCAAGTTGCCTGTGGAAGCTGGCGGTTGGCTGGCGAGTATCTGGTGGACATCCAGATCGTCGAAAAGATTATCGCCGGAATCATATTCGCTCATTTTTTTATAGCGCCAGGGTGATTGAGTTTACAGAGCCTTGGGAATGTAGAGAGAGAGAGAGCAACTGCCTTGAGAGATGTGTGTTGTGAAGGAGAAAAGGCAGCCTTGAGCGGGCTGAAAGGCCTGAAATAGCTGCATTGAAGAGATGGTGGGGCAGGACGCAGGCCCTACCTATTGGATTCACCATTAGAACTTTCTGGCAGATACCAGTGTCAGAAACTTGGTAGAACTTTGGTAGCACAAAGAGCGGCACCCGGAAACTGTGGATGGCAGAGTCATGGGACCTTGACATCACAAAGCATCGGTTTACCGCAAGTTAAGCTAGGTAGACAAAGGAAGCAGAGGCGAACCGGTAGCAGAGAATAATCATAAAACCACTCGCTCTGATGGACTCTAAAAGGAGCTGAGAAAAATCAATAAAATTCTTTCTCCCCATCTTTCTGTCTGAGTGTCGATTCAAACACCTACAACATACCAAGGTACGTATTTGGTATCAAATCCAACAATCTTCGACTTCAATGAATACAGGATTCCCACACAGCTCCCATTCGTTAGTGAAGTCGTCCAGAGACTCGACATACAAGATCCTCCCCTCTGTTCCGAAATACATTTCGGCAGGGAAACTGTATGGTTTTCTCCCCACCCGCCATGTCATCTCATGCCATGGGAAGTGAAGAGCAACAGCAACCCGTCAAACGAGGGTTACTTTGCGGCTCAATAACGACAGCTTCCGAAAAGCGCCGGGCCATTGATCAGCTCCGGGGAGTCCCAGAGGTTCTAAATCCCGCCTGCGAGTGCGGCGAGGGACGGGAGACGGCCGGACACCTGGTAGTGTGGCGTTTGGCCCCACCGCTGACTCGAAGATGGGAGAGAACCGGAATACGAACGCGACGGAAATTTTACTCTGTTCTGCACGGTATTGATTCTACATCGGCACGGCTCGCCGGGAGGGCCCTGGGCTGGCTGATGGACTCAGGGAGGCTGCCGATGTACAGTTTGGCCAGGAGGCTCGAGCTGGAAGCGGCGGCCTGACACGCCCCTCCTCCTTCGGGGGCCAGGAGGCCTCCTCTCTTTGTATTTGCAGGGTCACGCACGTGTACTTTCCTAAACAGTTGGTATGGATTTTACATCTGGCCCGCGAGGGCGCGGTTTTCCTGTACACTAAATAGCCGAGGGTCCGGCACGCCTTAGGGCACAACGCAGTATAAATAATATGATATACAGATTAGTTATACTATCTAAATACTGAGATTCCTTCGTACCTGGATCCAGGGATCGATTCACGACCCAGCGATCTGTCCCTGTGTCATGAGATCGTCCCTCGATCCAATGATCCGTTCCTGATTGGTCGTCCTTGGATCGTGAACTTGCCTGGCAAAAACAGACTAGAACAACACAACCGAGAAAACATTGTTCCGCGCTTTCTCCATCCCTCCTAAAACCACCCTTACCCTTCTTGATCGACTTACAATCGATGGCGCACAAAACGAGAGCAGCCAAGGTGCCGTGGGGCATTAACTAGTAAGCGCCTTCATAAGCGCTCATTAAGCCATTGTAGATCTCAAGGACCCAAGGCAGCTCGTCGGCGGGCACCAGCCAGCGGAAGGAGGCTAACTCCGTTGTTGATGAGCTTATTGATGCCGATGTCATGAACTCGCAGCCTCGGCCCGGATTAAACATCCATCGAGATACATGCATGAATAAATGTTAAGAAAAAAAAAAAAAAAAAAAAAAAGCTCACCACCAAGCCCCATTCCCCGGTGGAATGGAGGTTGGTGGGTGGCATGTGCCAGGAAGGTACCCCGTGGCCAGTGCGCGAGGGCGGAGGGATGCTGGGAATTTACTGGCGGCTTCCCACCTACTAACCTAACGAATGGCCACATCTTGAGCCGCATACAATGAAGGGAACAGTCTGAGTTTGTATCAATTGCAAAAATACAGCATCAGCCTTCCAATGGACGCTGGAGTTGGAATGGCGTGCAGGGGTAATGCCAAGAGATGCTCGGTTCAGGCCGGGGATACGATCGCCAAGCGGCACGGCCCGACAGGACCGGAGTGGGTCTTGGCGATCGAAGCGGGGCATTCCACGTGTGCGCACATATCACCCCTCAGTTTTTCTCCGAGATCAACATCAACAACGCCGCAAAATGAGCGGCAGAACGATAATTGGAATGGTGATGATTTTTCTTGTCACGTATAGCCTGGCGGTATCCCAACAAAAGATAGCGTTTATGCCAACCAGATAGCCAACGCCGTTTCTCGAACATCTTACACACACACGCCGATCTCCAGCTATCCAGCACATCGCATCGCATCGCACACCAAATTGGGTAGCCAAACGAACCGCCATGTCGGA